AAGTATCTAAGGGCCTTGGTTTTTGCTGTGCAAAATTTTGAAAATTTGCAATTTTTTTTTCAAAATCTGGATTGCAAAATTATTATGCAAAATCTATCGAACCGATTTTGATGAAATTTGGTGTGATAATTCTACGTAACATGGAGTTTTTTTGAGCCAAGTATAAAGGTCCTATACCCAATTTAAATACCCCAAAAAAATTTCCTAAAAAGTATTGTTTTTTAACCGCATTTTTGCGATTTTTTCGATTTTTGCCATAATAATCATGATTCATTTGATTTGTCACTAGACATGTTTTGTAAAAAATTTAATTGCAAACATTTTTTTCCTCTTCGATTTTCGCCTAAAATCAACTCTTGAAAAGATACACAATTAAATAAGAAAAATATGACATTTTTCGAATTTTTTTAACATATTGTGCCGTCAAAAGTTAAGCCCACGTTTTTTTTATGCACATAGAAGTTTTCATTTCTAGTGATATTTGAAAGACAAACCAAAAATCTCCGTGGATATACGATTCACCCAAACCAAAACAGATACCGCCTGGTCTAATAATTAATTGTAAAGCTGCAACACTTTTCCACATTCATTTTAAACCTGCAGTGAGTGACTGCACAGCAATTACAAACCAATATGTGACAGATAGCATTATACAAAATTGTTTTTCCAGTGACTTCTGTTTTATATGATTTAGAAAGCTAGCACCATAAACTAAAATCATAGGCTCTTTTCCCATTTTTTTTTTCAAAAATTTCGTTATGCAAAAGCATAATTTTATATGGTTGCAAAGAAAATAAAAAAATACTCACCACTCATGTAGTGACTAAAAAAGAAATTTTGTACATCAGTATAAAGAAAATATCCCATTACATATATGTACTCTACAGGGTGTCCAAAAATGAGTAACCGAGCTCAGGGCCTTTATAATGAAACAGACTATATACCTTGTAGGTATATTAGTTTTGTTTTTCTTATCTTTCTGTATCTTACCTTAAAAGGAATTGTAGAACCGTTTTATCTGCTACAGGTTTTGTTCATAGATAATGAATGAAATCAGCTAATGATTATGATAAAAACGTATTTGTAATTTATTTTAAAAATGGTTAAATTTAAATTTTTTTAACAGTAGTTTACAGACCTGTTATGTCCTCAGTAAGGAAGCTAAAAATCCACAGGCACAAATTTTTCAAAATCAAATTTAAAACCTAGCACTTTTTTTTGAACACTACTTAATATTCATAATATTTTCTTACACAATTACGGTTTATTGAAATTTGATGTAGTCATCACATACATTAACACGTTTTCATTAAAATTTTGATTTGTATTTTGACTTTCACAAGATTATTAGGCCACAAGTGGAAACTTTGTTAACTACTAACTTTAGTGCTGTGGAAGGATCTGGTCACTCACAAGAACTACTTTGTTGTTTTTAGTTACCCCGAACAAAGATTTTCGAATCACAACACCCACCAGGTTAACTGAAGAATAACACATCTTTCTGAAAGAACTTATCTATTTCACAACACTACATGGATTGCATGGCAAATAATTATATTTTACAATACCAGGGTAAAATACAAATATTTCTGGCCACAGCATTTATAAAAATAAAGTCACCGATAACTCTTACACTAATCACAAGGCCAGTTAAGATTTTGAAACAGTACAGGGTTGCCTGAATTATCAACTACACTAGTACACTACGTTTACACTGCTGTTTAATGAATGAACAAGGTACAGTCCTTTCACATAGTCTCAGATAAATCCTTACAGAAACTTAGTACACAAATGCATGAAAAATTATAATGAGAAAGAACTGCAATCACTTAAACTATGATTCCACTGCACGTTTTACAGTAACTCTTCGTAAAAATAATGTGTTAACACTTTAACAAAGATACATTGGTCAATATACACAAAGTAACTGGTCTAAACTCTACCTATCGTTGATCTCCAATTTCCTGAAATAAAATGCTGTTAGACTCGGCATGATCAACTACTACAACAAAACAATTGCCTCTATGGGAAAAAATAAAAGGGGATATAATATAAAAAGTGTAAATGAGTAAAAATATGTAAACTTGCAATATGCCTCAAGAGGCAGTACAGTCACAATATACAAAAAGCACAATTCCCAAGCAATATTTTGTGGTATAATGAACAGAATTTTTATTTAACTATGAGTAATGCAAGAATTACTCATTTAGAAAATAATTTTTTACATGTTAGTCTTTAATTTACCTAAATTTTAAATTCTTGCTCTCTTTATGCCCAGTGTGTATGTTGGTTGTATTATTAAAGAAAATATTTTTTTTTTATATTTTTAACTTATTAAATTTGCATCTATATAATTTTGCTTAACAATAAATAAAAATTAAGTAGAATTTCATCTAAGAGATTAATATAGGTATTCATATAAATTCATGATGACTATATATACGTATAAATTATGTTCATTTACCAGCAAACGTGTGATATCCGATAGCATGTTGTGACTATACTTTTGAAATTAACAATTTGTGTAAATATGGGTCATAAAAGGTGTACATGTAAAATGATATTTAAGCAGTACCACCACGTACCACTACAATAACTAAATGGTCTTCTTTTATTGCTTCATCCGAAAGGTTAGGGCAAGTGCGTTTTAGGAGTTCAGTAGAGAAGGGACAAGGGGGAAATGAATAAAGCACTCCCGTTGCTTCAGTTTCCTTATTTAATAAGGAAATAACTCCAGCAGCTTCCTTCTGTTTAAGATATGACACTAGATTACGAAGTGGTCTTGTCTGAACTGTTGTGTCATCATTTGTAACAGACGCCGTAGAACCGGCCAATCCTAAAAATATAGCATGTGAACTGGCACTAGATATACGTTTCTGCACATCTTCTAATTTAGGTTGATCCAGTCTAAGTCTTTGTGTAATCCGCAATTGATGTTTACCATCCTCATCTTTCATCAAACCATCGACAATATCGGTGTCACCATCGATCAAGTGGAATTTTGCAGGAAATAGTGAATTTTTAAGAATTAGAGCACCTTGCCAAATTGTGGTGCATTTTCTGGCAACTTCTGGTAAAGTACGGCTTGAAGCCAACAAACCAGCTCTACGAGAACCACTGTCAGAGTCAGAGTCTGGTGATCTTCTAGGAGAGCGGGATCTTGACCTATCAAGACCTCGAGAACCAGATCGTCTTCGATCGTACTCAGCATCTCGTGTACGACCCCATTCATCTTCTGTCACACCTTCGGGATATCGATAAGGACCTCTACTACCTGCTCTTCTTTCAAGATAAGGCTGTCTACCTCTATAACCTCGATATGCGCTACTACCTTCTCCTCCTTCATAGTCATAATCATAATCAATGTCTCGTCTGTAATCATCTATTCCTGCGGCATAAGGAGGTTTAGGTCGGTATGGTACACCTGGTGTAACATCTGCAAAATCTGTTCTCAATCTACGTTCAGGCCCACCTAATGGAAAACCACGCATCTCTTTCACAGCAGCTTGTGCAGCATCTATGCTGTCATATAAAATTAGCGCTTGATTATCACCTTTTACATAATCTATCTTCTTTATAGCGCCAAATCGATCAAACTCTCTTTCAAGCTGTGGTATAGAAGTCCAAGGTCCAAGACCACCTACCCAAATTCTAGTAGTTGGTGTTGCTTTACCATACCCAATCTTACACTGGAATTTTCCAATATATTGACCAGAAAGTTCTACTTTTGCTCTATGAGCCATATCTAGTGTGTTAAAACGTACGAAAGCAAATGCGTTACCTGTACCTGGAGGAGGTCTTTTTATATCAATGTCTTCTACTACACCATACCTTCCAAAGATTCTTCTCAGTTCCTCTTCAGTAATATTTATTTCTAAGTTACCTGCAAACAATGTTCTGGTAGCAAGAGGGTCATCCTCTGGCTGAATGTGATGTAAATAATTAGGAAATTTGTCTTTTTTGTTCTCTTGTTTTTCGAAAGGTGGGCGTGGAACTGTATGTCTAGGCGGGCCATAACCGTGAGTAGGGGGCATGTGAGGTGGGCCATGATGTATAGGAGGTCTGGCAAGGTATTCGTGATGTGGAGCTGGCAAAGCTTCACGTCTATACTCTCGATGTACTGGTACCCCAGCAGGAGGGCCGTAAGCTCGTTCATAACGGTCAACAGTGCGCAAACGATCAGGTGATCTGGCATAAGCATAGTGCCTGTCATAATCGGGGCTAATAGAACGCGGTCTACTACGATAAACGTCGTTTGAACGAGGAACTTCATAGACAGCCTCGACTAGAGCTACCTTGTCATAAATAATAATACGAGGTTTACCATGTTTGGCATCTCTCGCATCCTCTGGATTACGGAAACAAACATAGGCAACACGTTCATCAAGGTCGTGACTGAGTCTGATGCTCAGGTCACCATATTTTTTGTATTCCCTATAGAGTGTGTCTTTAATAACTTCATCACTAGCTTTGGGATGAAGGGCACTAACGCATAGAACTTTATACGGATAAGACCGTTCCGGAGGTCGCAAGTATTCGTCACGATGAGGAGAAACGTACCGGGCCCGTGGGCTAGGAGAACGCGCGCGGCTACCTCGACGCCGGATGCGATCGGGCGTTATTCTCTCGTCGGAACTATCGTCGTATCTTCCCATGCTTGATCGTGACCTTTTGCTACGTGGAGGTGTGTCCCTATCACTACTTCTTTTCATATTATGTATCCTAACTGTTATTTTGTCCCTTCCAGAGGCGATCATACGCACTGCACACACCAATTAACGGACAACACAATGGATGACACGGCACTCCTTTCCTAAAAACACAAACACGTATTTTCAACATCATACCTCACAAAAAACTACTAATTATTAACAATATATAAAAACAACATACTTTAGAACTACACAACACTGTGTAACAAGAGATTTGAAACCTGTCCTGACGAAAATCCAGCATTCACTTTTGTAATACGCCAACACATAAACCAAAATGGCTGAAAATGGCAGCGCCGCACAGCGATAAAACGGAAATAAAAAGGAAAGAAAAGGTGATGAAGTCCAGAAGAAATGCACCAATAGTGTAGCGTGAAGCACACCCCACCTTTGTATATGTTAGGGAAATTGTGTTTTCAAATTTTAGGCCATTTCTTTCGTTGATGACGCAATGTAGAGGTAATTGAATAAATTCATAAATCAACTAGACATTTCTTTACTACAACAAAAGTGCTGTGACTTCAATAATAAAATTATGGGCAAATAAAATGTCTTAAAACCAAATTCAATTTTAGTTAATTTACAGGCGCGTGACGTCATTCAGACGAAAAATACAAAACCTTCAAACTGGTATACTGCACCTGGTTCATGGTTTGGTTGGTCACTTGCAGTCTGCGAATTTAAAAAAAATATACGTATAATAACCTCAAATTTTAATGTTATTGTTGCAATTGTATTTAATTTTATTATATAATGTCGGCATTAAAACGGGTGCAGGTAAGCTAAATTAAAAAATTTTATATCATTTTTCTAATGTCAATTTCAGCAATGGGCCACTTTTGCAAGAGTTTGGCATCTGTACGACGCTGCATGGCAAAATCCATTCAATTCAGCAAAAGTTATAAAAAAATATTTAATGGGAATGCACAAACCGATATATCACCCACTAAGTAATATTTGTTTTAAACATTTTTAACTACCTTAAAAAAACATTAATAATTTCAGATGATTGTGGGGATGTGGTAGTGGTTATTAATAGTGCTGATATTGCATTACCTGGTGATGAATGGAAAAAAAGAGTATATTTCCACCATACAGGATATCCAGGTGGTGCTTCATGGACTCTAGCTTGGGAGTTACATAATAAAGATCCAACAATGGTATAAAAATGTTCATTACATGCAAAAACAAATTAATATATTCTAGATCCTAGGTGCTTAAAAAAGCAGTCTATAACAGCATGGATGGTAACTTACAAAGACGGTACACGATGCAGAGGTTATTTATTTTCCCCGATTCCAATGTTCCCAATGATTTAATGGAGAATATTTCAAATCAAATTAAGCAAATAAGGAAAGTACCAAAGAGACTTGATAAATATTCTGAAAAAGAAGTAAAAGAATTTCCCAAAATTATTGATTACCCAAGGGATTATATTGTACGATAAATTAGTTGTGTGCAATGAACTTTTGAATATTTTCTTTATAGTATTATGTATTACAAAAACTTGGTATTCATATAATTTCATGTATTAGACTTAATTATTTAAGTGGTAAGCTCTTATCTACAAAGCTGGGTGTAAAGAGAAAGACAAATTGATAAATTGAAATTATACAGTGCATTGCTACAGAATTTACCAATGATCAGTTTATTCTTGCACTATGCCTGATGCGTATTTCTTTGTCTTAACAACCGAAAAAATAGCTTTTATTGACTTACTCGCTATTTTTTAGCAATGTAGGCAAGGGCTTGCTGTAGATGAAACCAATCATGTTGAAAAACCAAAATCTGTTTTAATGTAATTAATCAGTAAAAAGTTTCTGCACATTCAGTATTAGTTTTTTGTGTATTTTTCCATCTACTTGGATCTCAGTAGGGGGGATATGTGCAATAATTTTGATGGTGGATTCTGCATTCCAAATTAATAAAGTACGTATGTATTAATGATATAATTTGTAATTTGTAGCTCTACCTTTTATAATTTTTATATTGATTGTCTAATTAACGTTAAATTTGACTTCAAGGAATAAAAGGTTAATCTAATGAGAGCAATTGCATTGATACCATTTTGATATACAGGGTGTCTGTTAAAGAATGGGTCAAACGTTACTACATACTAGATTCTACGATGAAAATTAATGGGGAAAAGTCATATACCATGTTGCCCATAAACGCTTAGTTTTCGAGATACAGGGTGTTGAATTTGAAAAAAAAAACATTGTCTTTGATACCTTTCGACTAATTTGAGCTAGTTTCGTGAAATTTCGTATCCATGGGTTTTTTTGGGATGAGAAATTCGAATTTATTGACAATTTCGTTGTATCTTCTAGAGGGCGTCATAAATGACCGTTAGGACGCATTTAAACTTAAAACTTTTTTGTGCCACCATTTTGGACTGGAAAAATCTTCCCCCAACTTTTTTTACTTAAAAAAGGTATACTTTGCTAATACCTCTAAAGCCAATCGTTTTCAACAAAAAAGCATTTAAATTTGTAAATGCAAAAAAATTTGTTTTTTTTTTATTTTTTTTTAATTTATTGTTTATTTTGAACTCCACTGATAAACATCGAAAAACATCTTTTAAGACAGATTAATAATAATTAATATAATAATAATTACATAGATACGAGGTATTCTATATCTCTAATGTATTTGTCACATCATTTTGTAAATTTATTATCTTTCTTGTTATTGAAACCTTAATCATTGTAAATGGAAAAATTTATCTGAACTGACTTGAAATTTTCATAACACCTTTTTTCAATTCTGCTTTTTAGATGGTTGACAATGAAAAATTAGATCACGCTAAATGAAAACAAATTGATTTCTATGAAATCGCCATCTTCAGTGTCGCTTGCCTGCGATAATTAGGTATGGTCACATAAGCCTTATAAAAATCAAGTAAAAAAAAATCATATTTTGCTTATAAATGAATTAATATTAAGAAATTATTCCCGATAAATTATTTTTACAATTCTAATTAATAATAACATTTCCATTTATAATTATCATAAGTAACATAGAGAGCATTTTCCTTTAAACCTTCACCCGATGCCTAAAGCCACCTAACTTAATTTTACAAAAAATAGAAAGCACATAGGAATTTGGCTATAGTATACGACCAAGGAACTCGAGTGATTTTGACAAGCAAGAAAGGCTCAATGTAGACTTCATGTTATGACATGTCACGTGTCAAGCCTAGTATATACTGAGATTCTTTGGATTCTCCGTGACAATGAATCTTGCATCTGGTGTGTTATGTTTTAGTATTTTTTAAATCTTATCTAAAATGGGATTCTTTACTGATTGTGTCCGTGCTTATTTCAATCCTTGAAGATCCCACGAATCCACCAACGTGGTGACATTTTGATAGCCCTTTTTTTTACTTCGAAGGGCTAATAAGTAGAAACCTATTGCAACCCCTGAGAGCGTGACCTCGTTCGACATGGTTCAGAATCAAACTAGATGCGTACACGATTTCCAGCGCGAGAATGTTGCGGAGCAAAGAACCTGTGACATGTATCCGCAAGTCTGCGACAAAGAATCTCAGTGCGTACTAGGCTTCACTCTCTGATATTATAGTAAGAAAACAAAAACTAAACTTTCAATCTATAGAATGCAAAATGAAAATTGTCCAACGCATTAAAATGAAATATCAACAAATAACTGCAAGTTATTTTTTTTTATGCCACTGTTGAGTGAGAAATAGTATTCTCACTCAATGATAGAACTGTAAAAATTATAGTCGAAATATTCGTATTGCACATTTTTGAAGTATATTATTTGGATAAAAAAAACTACTTCAATGAAGTCCTCACTCTACATTTCATATGTATTGGCCTCTCACTTTTAAAGTGAATTACAGAAAAAATGGAGAGGTGAAAAATTGTGTTAGGGGTAAAGTCACTGTAGAATTTTGAAAAATGGTTTAAGTAATGTGAAGAATATACGCAGAAAGTGGGGGAAAATAGGGAACACAAACACACTACAGGAGTGCTATTGTAACTCGTGAAAACACATGCGATAGTTAGCTATTATAGAGACCAGATCAAGCTGAAAAGAAGATATGGTATTTATTTCTTATGCTGAATGCCACCAAATATTTTAAAAGCGTTTTTCAAGAACCCACTTTTTTTAACTGGTTTAAATTTTCAATAAATCGATTTGAAATTTTGTACAGAGGTTCACAATAACAATTCAAGGAACATTGTTGAGGTTTTTTGATTGATTAACAATTTTCATTGTTATTAACAATTTAATTCAAAATGTCAACTCTTTTTCAATACTTTATTGTGAATATTCACTAAATCTGCAATTATTAATATTTTTTAATTTACCTACGATGTTCTCTAGATTTTAGTACCAACATATAGGAATTTTTTTTTGTTCCACGACTATCTGTTAATAAGAAACCTTTCTGGCCTTACAACCTTCTGTAATATAAAGTGTCGTTGCTTGCTATCATCTTCAGCCCCCATTTGAATCCAAATCGTTTGAAAAAATTCCCAATACTGCTTGAAAACATACAATAGAACACTTTTATTCATTACACTATATTTTGTATTAATTTTTCCTTGAAAATTTCCAAAAACTACCTTTTTTCCCAACCTCTAGAGTGGCGTTACCCCTTAATACCCTGTAGAAATGTCAACATACAGACTAGACAACATATCTTACTTTCAACTTTTTTTAACCACAGACAATGTAATGTTATTCATTTACATTTTACCGCCCTTGTAGGATATTTTCTTGAGAGTTCAAAACTGTACTTAGAAAAGGGAATAAATGTTGCACACAAACCAAACTTTTAATTAATAGAACTCCGCCATATTTTACATATTTACATAGAGTGCTTCCTTAACATTATAATGATATAATGTTTGATAGGTATATCGTCATTGATCGTGAAAAACCTGTGTAAAATACTATTTTTTCAGTAAGATGAAAAAACAACAGCTGTTTGCAGACGAATTTAATTCTTTCACACATAGGAGTTTATAAAAATACGGTTTTATGCAAGAATGATTATAATAAATAAATACAAACTAACTTCACATAGGATTTTCATGTTCAACGACGATATCTCTATTAAGAGATATGGCCCAGAGTTTAGACAATTTATTGTTAGCATACATTTTTAGCCATATCTTCCCTTATATTAGAAATAGATCTACCAAAACCTATATCATTGAAATATGTAAAAATATAGTGTTTTATTTAAATACATATATGCAAAAGGCAAAATTCAATGGTTTTATTAAGTACAGTTTTGACATCACCAAAAATAGGATGTGGAAGCCCTCTTGCATTTTTATCAGTACGGAATGTAAAATTTCAAATATTTTTAATTTTTTACTTCTCACTGTAGCTTACATTGTAATTTTCTGAATAGAGGTTTTGTATCTACATGTTTTTAAATGGCCAGTTCTTTTTGATCTACCATTACGAATGTGTCATGCACGTCTTACTTGACCTCAGGGAGGTTTTAAATTGATTTGGTTAATAATTTTGTTTAATGTCATTCAATTTTTAATAAAATTATTTCATTACATCATAGTTTTGTTGTTCGGGTTTTATCTTATGTATAAAAATCATACGACAGATCTAGTTTACGACTCATTAAAATTTCAAATAATGGTACTGTAAGTTTTAGAAAAATTATCATTATACTGAAATTAATGTCAACATTTAATAATATTTTCAAAAGTAGAATTTCTGTATATTATATAAAACAGTTCAAGTAGTTGATATTTCAGAGTGGGGCCAATACATTTGAAATATACAGGGTGTATCACGAACAGGGCCCAGTAGGATTATCTCAAAAAGTAGTCAGAATTGAAATCAAACTTTGTATACAGGGGTTTATCAAAAAGATCTATTCATTGAAAATAGTGTCAACTTCCTCGCTCTTCCGGTTATACATCAACTCAATTTCAAATGGAACACTATATTTATGCATTTTTTTATTATCCGGCAAATTCTAGACTAATTTCATATAAGGTACTATAGGCCAAAATGTGAGAGTTTCCAAGTTACTATTAATTGAATAGATCTTTTTGATAAACCTGTATACAAAGATTCAGATTTCAATTCCGATTACTTTTTGAGATAATCCTACTGTGCCCTCTACATGATACACCCTTTATAATAATCACATTAAATGCGTTTGCAGGATTGAGGAGAAAATTGCATTTTATACTAATATATTTATTAGTATATAAAGTATATAATGTATAAATTTAACAGAAACTTAAAAGCTCTGGCTGATTCTTAAGCATCCACGTGTAAGTCCTTTTCTAATGTATAAGCCGATACATGCATCATGCTGTGTCGGTTGGCCAAGAAATTATCCACTGTTCGCTGCTTTATCTCCTCCCACTGATACAAGTCTCTGTAAAGCGGTCGCACGAACTTCATCCTACCCACAATGTTGATCCAAGTTAATGCCACATGAACCTTCTCCTCCCACCTTGCTTTAATGCAAACTCTTAACCAACGGAATTTGATTTCTGAATTTTTAATATCATTAAAACCGAAAACATTGTTCAGCATTTCTAGTTTCTTTATCGGTTGAGCTTCAGCTTCAGATATAATCTGTAGGAAGTAAATAATTTGATTCGTAGTTAGGTTTTTCTTGTCGTCAATAGTTAAGGGTATTTCACCTTCACCATCCCATTTTAAGAACTTCTCAATAAGATTATCACAAATTACAGCCAATGATTTGTCGTAATCAGGGATGACAGGAGGCATGCCAGGGCTGTACAACCAGGTTTTCCAGTCGATTAATGTTATATCAGGATTGCTATTGAAATAGTTGTTAAAGAAGTCTTGAAAATCCTTTGTTTCTATGGATTTGTATTTGAAAGTATCAAAGTACTTCCTCAGGAACGGTTCAAAATTTTCTAAAAAAAAAAATTCAAACAAAATTTCATTAAAATTCAAAATTTCGAGATTAAAAATTTTGAATTTGAACTTAAGGGAGGAAACCACTTTAGGAGGTTAAAAAAATAGATTTTTTTTTATTTCATAAATTGTTAGTATATGCTACCAAAATTTCAAAATGAAATTCCTATTCGTTCTGGTTTTGAGCCTAAAACCGAATACCCATTGGGTTAGCACTTGGGCCCACAGTAGGTAGGTCGGAGTAGTGTCTAGACCAGGGGTCGGCAAGTAATTTTAGGTGGAGTCCGCATACATTTAAAAATTTTTAACGAGGTGCAGAAACAAAACTCATATTCCTTACTAATTTTTGATTTTAATTTGCACTTACAAATTAATAATATGTAATACAATAAATAGACATATTTGTATTTAAAAATCAATAGGAGAAATTACATTTGTGGTTTTGAGTCAGTTTTTTTTACTAACCTACTAACCATTAAAAATGATATGGATCTTTGGCGGTCCAGTTTTTTACCTTCCGTGGTCCGGATCTGGACCGCGGTCCGCCAGTTGCCGACCGCTAGTCTAGACACTTATTAATAAAAAAAAGAACAGATGCAAGCTCGGAATGATGATGCCTACGACGAAGAAGAAGAATTGTTATCTGGTGCTAAAATCTGTGATTTATCGGAAAGCAATCCAGATTATTGACAACTTTCTCAAATTTCTAGTTTACGGAAATTTTCAGACACGTTTTTCTCGAAACCACATTTTTTTTTATTCACGCGAACTCTAGCTCAAAAAGTTATGAACGGATCGTTATGAAAATTAAAAGTGTTTCTTTATGAAATTACAAAGAACATGAATAGGGATAATATAATTTTAAGTGTTTTTTATTCAAAGTAAGTGAAAAAAATATGGTGAAAATTGATAAATTTTTTTTCAAATACATGTCAAAACTTCAATTTTTACAATTCTTGCCCGCAATGAAGTTCATATTCTTAGGAAACATATTAATAATGCAGGAAATCAACCATTTTGCTTTCACATCAAAATTGCGATCTCCACATTTCCTGTGAACAACCAACTCGGACATTCGGTGGACAACAGCTCATAACATTTTCAACACAAATGACTTGAAAAAATGTATAAATATTATAGTTCAATATATTGATAAAATAATGTAAAAGTTTGATCAAATTCTAATCAATCTAATCTAATCACTCAAAAAAATCCATGAGCGTCTGAAAATCAGCCTCCTAATGTGATCTACCCCCTTAATATTTAATAAAAAAATATAAGGCATTTTTACGTTTTCGTAGAATTCCACAAAATTGCTAATATCAATATATAAAATCAGGGTGTATACCAAATTTTGAGGAAAAATTCCGCGATATTTTCAGGTTTTCCGATTTGAAAAATACAGGGTGTCCGCGTTTTTTGTAGCAGGACTTTCACAACTTGTACTAAGTCCTTTAAAAAAAAAGTTCATGTATACATATTATGTATAGATGTGTCGTTTTCGATTTACACAGTGTTCAACTTTAAAATGAGATTTGATTTTTTATTCGTAAAACAAAAACCCCTTTTTAGACTTTGTTGAAACTTGGCAACTTTGTTTGTAATAATAATACTCATTTTCTCACATAATTTAATTTGTCCTATTTTCTCTGTTGTGTCACAACAAGATACCAGCTTGATAAAAATAGACAAAAATATGGTACGCTGCTGTTTTTGGTAAGTTTGAAATTTTTCTCAGATTTAGCTATCAAAAATACAACTTTTTTGTTATTTACTTTTTTTTCCTATCTCGCTTTGTTTAGACAGAAATAAAACTTCTTGTTTCACACAGTTTATTGTGATAATAAAAAAAATAAACAACAGGGTATGGAAAAACAACTTATTGTATAAATAAACCTCAAAGGAACTGTTCGAAATGCCCGCCATTTCGTTCTACACACTTACAGTGACGTATCAAAGACCGCCTAACGTCTCTCAAATGATGTGGAGTTATTCTGAGAGCAGCATTCCGGATTCGTCGTACAAGTTCCTCTTGCGAGTTAACAAGCATAGAGTAAACTGCATCCTTAATAAATCCCCAAACAAAAAAATCCAAAGTTGTTAGATCAGGCGATCGCGGAGGCCACCCAACTGGACCTCCACGACCCACCCCTCTCTGTGGATACTCTGTATTCAGCCAGTTTCGTACCACCAAAGAGTAATGGGAAGGGCATCCATCTAATTGAAAAAACGAGTCTATTCGTTGTCGAAGGGGAACATCGTCTAGTATGTTATCATGCTGGGTAGTTAAAAATTCAAGAAATAATTGACATCTTAATCTGTTGAGCAGGATGTAAGGTCCAAACAAAAAATCGCCAAACACTCCCATCCAAACGTTTACACTAAATTCTTATAGGAACCTCATAGGTCGAATCAGATGTGGATTTTCATTATCCCAAACGTGGAGATTATGGAAATTTACTACACCACATCTTGTGAAACATGACTCATCCGTCCAAATAATTTTATTAAGAAACTCTGGATATTCTCTTACCTGATTAAGTACCCAATTACAAAAATTTACATGACGTTGTGCATCTTCAGATTGTAATGCTTGTACAGGCTGTAAATGGTACGGATAAACACCATTTTGTCTTAAAGTTTTCCATATCTTGGTTTTAGATACATTTAATTGCCTTGAGGCCCGCCGAGTACTTAATTGTCGGTTTCTTGCAAACATATTTAAAATTCGTTGCTCTAGTCTCCCACGCCTTTGCCGAATTTGTTCACCTACTACTGCCCGGAACGGTTTTAAACCTTGGCTTCTAAACTGTTGGTGTATGTTTACAAAAACGCTTGGATGAGGTTGTCTTCTGTTGGGAAACCTTCTTCTGTATTCGCGAGCAGCACCAGCAGAGTTTCCATCGCAAAATCCAGACAAATAATGCATGTCTGCATACTCTTCATTACTAAATTGAAAAGGCATTTTTATGAGAAAAAGAAATGTATATTATTAAAACAGAAAACCATCAATCAAAAAAACTTAATTAAAGAACGTCAACAAACGTCAAACCATTGCTACAATACCTTGGCAACTCAAAAACAGACATGTTCACGGCACACTTTGTAACAAGTAAATAAATAAATTAAGCAAATCTCGAACCTATTCATGAAAATGTTTTATTTCTTACTAAACAAAGCGAGATAGGGAAAAAAAGTTGTATTTTTGACAGCTAAATCTGAGAAAAATTTCAAACTTACCAAAAAGCAGTGGCGTATGATATTTTTTTCTATTTTTGTCAAGCTGGTATCTTGTTGTGACGCCACTGGAGAAAATAGGACAAATTAAATTATGTGAGAAAATGAGTATTATTATTACAAACAAAGTAGCCAAGTTTCAACAAAGTCTAAAAAGGGGTTTTCGTTTTACGAATAAAAAATCATTCTCATTTTAAACTTAAACACTCTGTAAATTGAAAATGACGCATCTATACATATATGCTTACATGAACTTTTTTTTTAAAAGGACTTTTAGTATAAGTTGTGAAAGTCCTGCTACAAAAAACGTGGACACCCTGTATTAGAGGCAAAAATGTAGGCTAATATGTAAGTTTGTATTTTTCAATTACCACCATTTTCCAAATGTTTTATCTGTTCATCTTGACCAAACTGATCTTGTCTGCGAGATGCACAGAACAAGTAGAGAGTCTGCAGCAGCAGTGACAAAGACAGGATACCTTAATAGTAGGGCAGGTATCTTCTGTACAATGTTATGCATATCATATCAGACTGAGATCCGGTGCTAATATGGTAACGTTGCCATTGTGCTTCTGAAACTGGCAGACAAGATGAATATGTTCAAGCTGTATCTTCCATTTAATATTTAGTGAAGTACAATTACTTCTAAAGTTGTATAGTGACTACCATAAAGTTTGTATCTTCGTTTTCCACAAATGAGAAATAGGTTTATTTAATCTAAAAAATATATCAATTTTGCTTGTCTGAATAAATAAGGGCATGCTACTAGGACTCTGAATTAATTCTAATGGATTTACAATAGATGGTGTAACTATTTTCATGTCAAACCACTGTCATTAGGCTTTACTTTTTATTATGTATCATTTTACTGAAGTATAAATATATTTTTTCTCCGACCCGAAGATGTTGAATTATGAACAAAACACCGTTTGCAGGAATTTTACTTTTCCAGTTCAGTTAAAAGAAAAGTACTGCTGAAAGTCATCGATTACTGTTGAAAGCTTACGGTGAACATATTCCCTCGATAAAAAGTATTGGTTGTGACATTTTAGAAGTGGTGATTTCGATACACCCTATTCAACCGAAAAGTTCGAAGATGAGGAATAGGAAGCATTATTCGATGAAGATTCATGTCAAATGCAAGATGAACTTGCTGAATCGTTGAATGTTGATCACATATCAGTTTCTAAATGTTTAAATATACTTGGTATGATTCAAAAGTAAGAAAATTGGCTGTGATAATCCTGTGTAGAAAATTGTTGTAGAGATTGCCTGATCATGCATCAACATCGACGGCAAGGCCGAATATTCATTGTTCAAAGCTCATGCTCAGCTTGGTGTTGTGTCCTATGCTTCAACCGAATGAAACCATTACTGGTGAACGCTACCAAAAACAATTGATGCATTTGAGCCATGCATTGAAGAAAAAACAATCGCAATTTGAGCAAAGACACAATCAAGTAATTTTTCAACATAATAACGCCCATATTCATCAGATATTGCTCCGTCAGATTAGTACTTGTTCCGATTCATAGAACCCTGCCTGGCTAAATAGTATTTCCAATCTTACAAAGATATGAAAAATTGGATAGATTGGCGGATAGCATCAAAATATGAGTTGTTCTTTCGTCATGGAATCTGTATAGTGCCAGAAAGATGGGAAAAATAGCAATGAATAGTACTTTGAAATAATGTACACAATTTTTCACAGTAAAGCCTTGAATTTACAAAACAATATCCCTCAAAATTAATTCACAGTCCTAGCAGATATACTGGAAGTTTTTAGTTTACGAGTAAATGGCACTATTTTAAGCAGCCAAAATTGAAACATAACTTTCCAAAAATATTTAGAATTTTTATTTAAATTATGCATATGCGTCGAAAAGTATTAGTTTTCGAGATACATGTTCATGTTGAAACACCTGAAAACAATTTTTTGAATAAATTCAAAACACCGAAAGATAAACAAAATTAAAATTTATACAGGTATTTAATTTTTTATCCCTTAGAGAAAAAATGATTACTATGAATTAGAATTATTAAGGGGCGAGTAAAATTTTGCTCTATAGTTCATTGATTGAAAAAGCCATTTTTTTGGCGTTGGTCTTAAATAAGCAAAAAAAAATGTCGCATAATGAAAAGTGAGATAAAATTTAACTTTAACTAGCTCTATTCTTATAAAGGGTAAAAAGTGAAATACCTGTATAAATTTCCATTCGTTTATATCTAAGCATTTTGAATAAATTCTTTATAAAATAGGAATGTTAGTGATATCCAGTGGCAACATCTCATAAATAAAAACCAAACACAAAGGGAATTTTAAAAAATACCAAAATAATTTGAGAAATTTCCCGATATTTGCCTGACATTTCCAGACCTATAAAATTCCCAGTTTTCAAGGTTAGTATACACCCAGAAAATTTTCTGAATATTTGGAATCAGTAACAATTTATATTGATAATAGATTTTTATTTACCTGGACCACCAACAACATTTTCCAAATAACGTAAAAACGTTTGCCCTTTTTCATAAGGGATAATCGAAAATGCATCATCAGGATGTACTCCCTTCAGGTTAACTACAAGTTGAGTCAACGGACTATCTTTACCAATACGATTTACCTAAAAAATTTTAAGAGAAAATAATGTTATGAGCAGGTTATAAATTATCTCCTAATGATTTGAGAATATATAGTACATATATCAAAAAATAAGGGTACTTTTTTATATAAACTTTTTTCAATAAAGGGAGATATACCTCTTTAAAGAGGTAAATATTCATACATTTTGTATAGTATTTTAAAAATCTTTCGAAGTATCTTATTAATATTTTTAAAATAGATTTCATTTTTATCCCATTCAAATTTTTTGAAAAAATTCTAAATTATTAAGGAGAAAAATGTACTCTTACTCTATTTTGATAAATAGAACCGTTTTTGAAAATGGTACATTTACAAAATTTCTTAATGATTTATCGCATATAACTTGAAATACAGGTATCACATATTTTGAAAAATTTCCATAAGGCCGCTCGCAAACACGGCCACTTGTGGTCGCCACTAGTGGCGGCCACCAAGTGGCTAGAAGCAACCACTAGTATTCGCTACAGGTGGCCGCCACGTGCTTCTAATTTTTTAACCAGTGGCCGCCACTTTTCATGAATTTTCTATCCAGTATCGTCTCTAGTCAGTTTCGGATATAAACACATCTACGTATATAATGTCCTCCATTTCTGTGCTCATAATTCAGAATACGTACCAGTCGAACAGAAACGTGGCGATAGACTGTGGCCGCTTGGTGTGGCCGCGTGTGCGCCGAAAGACGAGTGGCTGTCGTCGGCTACAAGCAGCAAGGTACGACTTCTGCCACAACGTGTGGCCCGATCGAGCCACTGCCAACGCTGTGTTTGCGAGCGGCCTAAAACAAGTACTTTAGTTGCGTTATAACTAAACAAACTTTTAAATGTATTTTTTTTTGGGGAATACTGCAGAAATGTCAAGAAAATATTTGTTAAAATTAATTTTCTTTAAAAGTAATAGCTAAAGAAAATGGAAACTTCAAAATGTGTGACTTTTCAATTCACATACAGTATGTAACAAAGGTCAGGAACATTTAGTGCGAAACAAAAATTAATAAGTTCTGCGTATCAACATACTTTGATTAAAATTTTTTAAACGAATCTTCTTTTAACGATTTTGTTAAATTTTGTGCATTTTTTTTCTGAGATGATCATCTACTAATTGTTTCATGAGAAATTAATAGAAATTACGTAGCTGAAATATGCTGATACTCCATAAATGGGATCTACTGCATTTCGTGTAGAAATTATTTTGCTAGAAACATTTTTTGCATCATCCCATCATCCCAAAAACTGAAATGCAACAAAAACATAAAAAATGATCTTTCTGCTCTTAACTTTTAAGGTAGTTCCTTCGAATAAAATCTAGGCTTAAGACACGTACAGAAATTTTTAGTTCAATAGTTAAAGCAGTTCTGAATAACATATTTAAATTTTAAATCGATTGACCATTTAGTTTTTTAGAAATTAATTTTCAATGTTTAAAGAATTAACACGTGGGAGATAGGGATCGTTATATTTCTCATAAACCACTTTTACCGTTTATGCACAAATTTTTGTATGCATAGAATATTTTTTTTAATTTTTCGGTACAAAAAAAATTATGATTGACCATTTAGTATGAGTAATTAATTTTTTAAAACATCAATATGAACAAGTTCGCTTGAATGGGTCAATGCGGCAATGTCGCAGCCGTCGCACTGACTAAATTGAGAAAAATGAGAGCGAAAGTTGATGCTTGGAGATTTGGTAATATTAAAGAATTTTTCTCTGACAGGAATTGTAGAATTACACTGGACGATTTTTTCATTGTGTAGTTTATAAAATAGGATTTATTTAAGATACACAAATAATGATTTTAAACATTGTAACATTCAAATTCAAAACATAATAGGTACTCAAGATCATCATAATTTATATAAATAATTTGTTATACTTTCTATGCATTTTAATTTTGCACTTCTTTCATTGCTATTATTTGATTCTCTTGATTTTTCATGGGCTCTTTTCAAACCAGCACACTGTTTCAACTTTTTATTGAACTGTTTTTCACCAATGAATTCCTTCCTTCTTAGTCTATCTGATATTGTGTATTTGTTTATTATCAAAACTTAAAACAATATTATAGGTTATAAAATTCCACCGCACCAGTGGCAATGACGATCACGACGCGACGTTGCCGATACTTCTAATCCACACACACATGTTCAACGGTTTCGCTCTCTCTTTGTTGCGCAGCACTATCTGTCTCTCTCTTACCGGCTGAACTACCTTAAATAACTTTTGAACAGACATAAGTTTGCGAGCTGAATTAATTGCAAATTTCGAAGCATCTATATATATATATCTGTCTTGTGACTCTTGCGATTGTTTCAGGGTGACACGCAATTTCTTTCTTTCTTTTTTTTTCTTTTTTGGGGAAAACAGTGGTTTCAGAAACATAAAATTGACAACAATAATTAAAATATATGTTCAAATTGAACGATATTTGCTACTAGACTGTACAATGAGCAAATTCCTTTGGATACATTTTTAATTATCAATCTGTCTTGTCTCAGCTCTAATACCATTCTTACATGCTTCTACTCTACATCATCCCAAGCAGTTGTAAAATCTGCCCTATAAATATCCTGATAAGAAAAAAATTGAAGGTGTTATGAATGTTACTGGTTCGGTTAGTCTCCTGCAATGTGTATTCAACAAAATTGTCAAAAAATAAAAATCGTGTCCTAGGCGTTTAACAAAATTAATATGGTTTTGTGTCACATTCGATATTTCTGACTTTTGTTACACACTATATATTTTTCAATATATACTCATTAATATAGTTAAAATACAGCAATTACTTTTTTTAATTAAAAAATAATAGGCTTCTTAAGATATGGTTCTTGAGAATTTTGCTGGCGTTCATCGTTGACAGAAAAAGTAGCTTTCATTGTAACCAATAAACATCGTTACAAGTTTCATTTTAACAATGTTTCACTGCTAGTGTAAACTGGTATTTTCCGTTGACAATGAATGCCGGCAGAATGGCTCAAAAATTAGATTTAATACTCTTACTGTTTCATTTAATTCAGTCACATGTGTGTAGGCATCAAAATCCTGACTCTGGGGAGACTCAAGCCTTCCTTTAATCTTTCTCTCCACAAATACTGTGAAGCCCTCGTTTAGCCAGAAATGTTCAAAATTACGGTTTGTAATCAAATTCCCAGTCCAACTATGGGCAATTTCATGAGCAACTACATTTGCTAGGGATCTATCTCCTGCCTGAAAAAAAGTATTTTTTGTTGTATTCATAATTACTTTCAGAGTTAAGGCTTGGTATCCTACTTAAAATGAATTCTTCCGTAGCTCTGGTATAAATAATACAAAAATGTGTATCAAGTAAACATTTCACCAAATCAATTTCTTCACATTTTTTCTTTTGTTAATTAATATTTCAGCACCCTCAAAAATACCAAATATATCTAGAACTAAACATTACAAAACAGTATTTTCGCTGTTCATTGAAGCATGAAGTTTAAACACGAAATGTAAATCAGTATAGTAAAACTATTAAAATCGATTTGTTATTATGTCATCCCACGATCACTCCAAAAATATATACCAGGTGGCTCAAAGTGAGTGGCCGATTAGATTATTTCAGGACCTACTTCGATTTAAATTTTGTAAATTGCCACACTAATGTTTTTGGATGTGCTCTTTTCAAATCTAATAATTTTGTTCCTGTAACACTTCCGTTTATACTGGAAGTTGACTTCAACTTCGTTATTTTAAATGGAACACTCTGTATATTTTTCATCTGAGTAACAGAATATTATACAGGGTGGTCATGATTCAATACCGAGTTTGGTCCACTAGAAACCGTTGAAACATGATTTTTTGTAATGGAACACCCATTATATTTTTTCAAATTTGGATATGCCATTTTATTCTCTTTCCATCCATACCATGGTTCCATATACTTACCTTTTCTAGTAGCCACCCGGTATAATAAAAAATTGAATATTGTTTCTACTTTTGTCCAAACACACGAAGGGTGCTTAAAGGAACTATCGTTTGAATATTGTCAGATAAAACACAAGTACTAAAATTAGTTAATTAATTTTATCGTAATTTATCAAGCATTTTTCTTTGAATTTAGAAAATGTCCATTATGCCTTTAGTGACTATTTTTTATAAATGTATATCAATTACTTTTATCTACAAAATTTTAATTTTTCTGATGTAATAGGTATTACTTTATTTTTGAATATTATATTTCAGAAAAAAGTAATTATATTTCTTATGAGGGTACCACAATATTTAACATAATTAAGATTCAATGTGCAAAAATTTTGAATAAGAAAATTCATGTGCAACATATGTGTGTAAAATTTAGTGAAATGTATTGCTTTGAAGAACACTTCAAATAGAAAAATATTAATTATTAGACCTCAAAAGTTCAAAGTTCTATCACGAATATCTCAATTTTATTCACACATTAAAAGTAAATTCAAAATTGAGTTTTATTTCCATTTTATTAATAATAAGGTACTTTGAGGTATGTTTATTATAGTTTGTGCGATAGTCTTTTCATATTCCTATCAGTAAGAAATGTCTATTATTTTTAAAGAAATGAACTGTGAAAATGATCATAACATAAAAGTTATATGTTGACGATGCACTTTTATCGCAACATAAATAATATAGTTTAAATTCTTGCTGATATAATTGAATATGCAAAAGAATGAGGCCTCAAAATATTTTTATGTTTTATTTTCCTGCTAATACAAAATCTTGTTTTTTTGTCAATAATTTTCCTTAGCTACCACACGCCCTAGCTGATCTGATAAAAATAAATAAATCTTATATACAAAGATAAGTAATAAGACCATCACTACAGCTAATAAGACAATCACTACAGTTATCAATAAGTAAATTAGACAAATATTTACAAGAATGTTCAAATAAATTTTCTTTGTGGCATATTTGTGGCATAGCTTTAGTATTTTTTCGTAATTTTTTGGGTATGTTGCCACCTGTCAAAAATTTTAAAAATTATAGAAATAAGCACCAAAAGAATCAGTCAAAGGTTATTTTTATGAAAAAGACAAATACAAAATACAAAAACACATCACTTTATATCACGCACTTTAAAAAGTTGTTAACAGTTCAAAAATCTATCTGTTTTTGTCTCCTGAACTTTTGTTGACTTTTCGTTTTAGTTACATTTAAAAAAAAATGGACGTTTGTCAAAGAGTCAAAATTTCCTTCTTTGAAGTCATTTCAACATCAAACAAATATTACGTAAAAATATAAATAAATAAACTAGAAAAACCGGAAATCAAAAGCAAGGTACTAGATAAAATAATTAATATGTAGACATAAAATTTTTTAGAAAATCACTCAAAGGTTTTACAATCTTATCATATTTAGTTTCAGAGATGTATTTGATATTGTCAATAATGCTGCAAATGTAGTTTTACTTTAAAAAAAAACAAATAACGCCGAAACATTATGACAGACTCAATACGTGTCTGTCAAAGTAGGCCTTAAATTCAACAAGAAATCAAATCAAATCTGCATGTGAAAATAATTTTAAAAAGCGAAGACATTTTTTTCGTTGACATTACCAGAACTATGAAAGAATAAACCACGAGTGGGCATCTTGTATTACAATAATCTAATCACTTGATTAGTCAATCGAGTCTTAACCAGTAGTCAAAATAGTTTTCAATTCCATTATGAGAATTTTTTTAGAGTAGTTCATTGTAAAAAGGACAAGTGAGGAAAGAAAAAATGTAGCTCTATGTTGAAAAATCTTGTTAACTTCCTACTAATCAAACTTACCAATAATGTGGGGGTTACAAACGTCAAACAAGGATTCTCCATACCTCCATAAGGAAAACTAGGTGGCAGCACGAGCAAATCGTAAATTCCCCAAACATAAGGACCACAAATTTCCTCCGCAGTTTTAAGTTGATGCTCAGTCTCTGCAAATTCGAAGGCGCAATCCTCAATTATTTCTTTCTCTGCCCAAACATGAGAGCGAGGGCCAATTTTTCTTGACTGTAGAACACCAACTGCAATGGCTATTAGATATGAAGGCATGGGTACAGTTTGTACAAAATGGGACAGTTTGCCCCCATGTAACTCTTTGCTGCCATTACAGATTGCAGACATCAATACTGTATATTCCTGAGGAGCTGAAATCTAAAAAGTTCACACATTATAAAATTTAAAATTAAGTTATTCAAAAGTACATAGATACTAACATCAGAGAGGTTCATATATTTTTTTAATCGAACTGCAAATAACGGAGTTACATCTGATTTTGAGCTGCTGTTGATTTCAATTATTTTGACAGCGGTATGTTGATATACAAGCAAAAATTATAAAATGTTTCACAAATAATCCTGTACATAACTATCATATAACTTACCGTAGCTGTATATTTTGTTTTAACTGCTGGAGTATCTTGGCAGGGTAGAACTGATCTAGCATGTGTAGGCTGTAAATAACCATCAACTTAAAGAATAAGCAACAGAAAAACATACACAAACTTACTTGAAACTGACTAAAAAGATAAGGATGTTTTTTACCAGCAGTCGCATTGGGCGACAACCACTGTAAACCAGTTGCATCAGGACTTGTTTCATATTTGATACCAATTTTGTAACTACAATAAGTAGTATTAGTTGCACTGCTATCATATATTTTTTAATATAATTATAACAAAATGGAATACCTGTTACTGTCCTTTTTAGGAAGCTGTACTGATAATTTAGAACCATATTCGGCAATAGCTTCTGATAAATTATATTCTAGTTTGTCATTTGTCTCTGCATCATATATAGATGCTATATTCAGCTTAGAAGAATCTAGAACCTATAAATTTACAAACACCATTTAAATTAGATTGAAAATTATTAAATCAGATTAGTGAAAGTGTAGGAAAAGAAAACCACAAGCAAGATGTTAAACAAAACAGAAATATGCTGGTATATACTTTCTGACATAGATAAATTTTCTTACTTTTGTCATAATTTTGAAGGTTATTCCTTAGATTATTTTAAATCAAAAGTCTTAATGAATAAAGGGTCTGCTACTAGTTTTTGTGATGTAGTGTGTTGAAATATAAAGGTATAGGTATTTATTTAAATATCTTTGACAATACTTGATATACAAGGTGTTACAAATTAGTAGGTCAAGCTGTTAACCACATATTCTTTGGACTAAAATAATGGGACTTTTCTTATGCCACTTTTGATTTCGGAAACCCATTTTTAAAATACAAGGTGTTAAAATCGAAATTTTAAAAATGATTTTTATTGATGGCTCTCGCTATTTTGAAGATATTTGTTTGAAATTTGGCACATATTTTTATTTTAAGTCAGTACACTTTCTGAGTAATTTTGGTGTAAAATATCAAAACGCAAACGGAGGAAAGTGGGGTTGTAGTACCCACGGACCCCCCCAATTTTTTTTTTCAGTACGACTGATTTCAAAATATTTTTTTTAAATAAATTAAATGATCATTTTTTAAATTTTAATAGTTTGAAAATGGGGCTCTGAAATGAAAAATGGCATAATAAGTCTCATAATTTTAGTCCAAAGAATATGTGGTTAACGGCTTTTCCTACTAATTTGTTACACCCTGTATATTCCTAATGGTAAGCATATCTAAGAAAAGACGTCCCGTCGTTTTTTTTATTTATTTTATTTAAGATAAGCTTGACTGTAAAATAAATATTAAGACTTATTTACCAAAAAATATATCTGGATAGAAATTTTTTTTGTTCAAAAAATTTTTTTAGAGTTGTGATAAAGTAGGTATACATTCGTTTTTTTTTTTTTTGACTAACTGGATTGCATAAAAAATGTCTTTTTGTGTTATTAGATAACTTCTGATGTCACCGATGTTAGAAGAATAACATCACTGACATTTTTTTTGTTTTTTTGGCATATTCAATACCAGCGCCGGATTTACGCTTGTGAGGCCTATAGGCAGAAATTTGGTGGGGGCCTAGTTAAGGGTTTGAAAAAAACATTATTTTTTGTGTCTCCTTCAAGATTTTCTCTCAAATTTATTAAATAAATAATCTGTCTTGTTTTTAAAGGAATAATTTAAACATTGCAAAGAAAATTAAATTTTATTTTCACTAGGAACAAATTAACAAAAATTAGTGAATATTTTTCCCACTTATTTAATTACTTATAAAGTGTAGTGCATAATAATGAATTTTAGTACTAAAATAATAATAATACTTTTGATTCATTACTTATTGATTAATTAATTGATACTTAAAAAAAGTTTTTATAGTTGAATTTAAATTATAATTAATTTGGTAAAATTTTGGTTACAAATTATTTAACATTTATTATTGCATAATTTACAATTATGCTTTTCGAGCTTTCTTGTCAGCAAAATCAGCAGAAAATTTTTTTCAAATTGGTGGGGGCCTATAGGCAGTCCTAGTCTGCCTATGCCCAAAATCCGGCGCTGTTCAATACCATGTTATTATTATGAGAAGGTTATTAGACAAAATAATATTTACAAACTATAATTTTATCACACACATGGTAATAGATAATTTAGATTTTATGAAAAATGCGTCTTTTGTTTGATGCCATTGGACTGTTTGTGATGTCATAAATATCAGAACATGTCATGGCATACTTTTATCTTTATTTGCCACATTTTTGGAAATCCTGCTCAATCAGTGAATCTAATATTAAGTTCCATTAAGTAATTTATTAAGATGACCTTACCGGCAATTCTATTGGCCCACTTCTAACTGGTTTGGAATAATATCATTTAAATATTCACTAGTAAAGCATAGGGAAATGCCACCATATAATGACCCTGAGTTGTTAAAAAAATAGTTAGGTATTAGTAATAGTCATTCATTAAATTAGTATTAGAATTAGAATCACAATCAAGCTTTCCGGAAATATATCAAAAAATGCCTCATTCTTTAAAAAACAATGTTGATAGTGTCACAAAACTATCCAATGGCACAAAATAGAATTTGTAATACTAATAGAAACCAATCCGCCCAAATGTTTTTTTCAACAAGTCAGTTGTTTAAGAAATGTCATATCATGTAATACAACCCAATATAATGCAATACTAGAAAATCCAAAAGAATCATTGGCATAGATATTTTTGATATTCTGAATAGCGAAGAGGTACAGAATTCAAAATTCAAAATAGATATAATAATATATTAAAAACTTAAATAATGACGATGTTTTGGACTGAACTTTTATTAAGATGGTCAAGTATAAGTGTCATTAATGACACCATATCTTTCATAGTAAAATCACTTGTACTTACAATTTCATTTACATTTTCATCAATTTTTTTAACAGACAAGTCGACGTTCCCAATCAAGATTTTTTTATCAAAGTTCACACTCAAATTTAAAAATATTTCAGTAACCACAGCAAGTTCTAAAAATTATTAAGGTGTCATAATAAAACTATATCGAGACATGAACATTTCTTACCAGGTCTTGAAAATGAGCTAGGATCCAAGGGACTCAAGCCTGTTTTCTCCATAGTACTGCAATTTCTGCCTATAAATTTAGATATAACTTGATAGTTTTGATATCTTTTTAATATCACTTGAAGGATCATGTACACATGAGGATTAATTATAATATAAGAATTTATCTCAGATAGATAACAGATAACATAGGAATATTACTTTGTTACCAATTAAGAAATATTAAACTCAATTAATATTAGGTTTTAGGTTAGGTACACTTGTTTAACACTGACAGGCAAAGCCGCGAATAACTGACATTGACAAATGACAAATAAGTAGTTTCCATAAAAAAATATATTTTTCTATGGTAGATTCACAAAGCATATGCCACAAAACATTTATAGGCATATATATACTAGAAGTAGATAAATTAATGTTATACGAGTATGTAGCATTCACGATTACAATTACTTTGACGGCATACGATTAGACAGAAATGATTACTAAAATTTCAAAAGTCAGTTTTATCATTGTATAAGTTTATACAATGGTTTTATGTATGAGTTTTGTGCAGGTAGTTTGACAATTTGAATTGGCAGGTACAAGAACAGTAAATTAGATTTTAGATTAGAAGTGAGAGCAATGAAGCAGAGCCCGGACCATATGTTATTTCCTCAAGCAAAAACAAATAACCACTGATTTTAGAAAATAGATATAACTTACCAGATGGACTATAAAATGAAAACATGTTAAAAAAATATCCAGTACCTTTAAATAAACTAGCAAATATTCCAACACATACACAAAACAATATATTTTTTTGGTTTAGAACCATTTTTAATTAAGTTTTGAAACAAAATATATGTTATGAAACTTTCTCTATTGCAATCTACAGAAGCAGAGATTAATAGTCGGATCCGCAATCTATTCCTCTTCGCTTCCACTTGTTTTTCATTATAAATAATTTATAGGTATCCATCGTATGATAAAAAAAAATTTTCTATCAATATTTATATGATGAGCGGTTCCTTCCCATGTAGTAATAGCACAGCATACAGGGTGTCCGCAAATTTCACCGATAACGTTTGAATGCATATTCACGACGACAAAATAAATACGATCCATGAAAAAAAAAAGTTAAATAAAAAATATTTGGTTTTTGAGTTACAAGCCTTCAAAGTTGTCAAAAATAAAACTAATTTAATTAATAACTTCATAACCCTTTTACCGATCGCGTTAAAATTTGGCACATTTATTTGGACTATTATGGCGTATTATTTCTTAAAACATTAGTCAAATCGATATACTGGGTGATAGTTTTCTCGTCTTATTTTTTTTTAAACAGGCAGCAACATTGAAAAGGTCGTTTTGTTTAAAAAAAATATTTTCCTTTGGAAAAGTCGCCTATAGAAAGCCATTCTTGAGAAGAATTGCATTATTATTTGCAGGTCTGTATGTTTCGGTTTGCGTAGCAGTATCACGGATTTAAAACTTCGAGTTGAGTAAGCGATGAAAACAATAATATGTTGATTGCTGTGTTTATCAGGTAATGTGATAATTGTCGTGTTTCTTTAGGATTCTCATCACTTCACGCATGAAAATTATGAAAATTTACAACCCCGTTCCTTGTAAAACAAGATTCGTCGGTACAAAACAACTGGTGGACATCCATTCTCGAGCGAGCGGCCGAACTGAGCGGACGTGTTTATTGTGAAGTGAAGTGCATTGCAACGAGCAAGATCTACCTGCCTTTATTAAGGCT